ACTCCCTTTCAATTTGATTTCTAAGAAAAGTGCAAGCTTCAAATTATACAAAATATTGCATGCTGATTTTAATTTGAAGTTTCGTAGTCTGGAGTTTGTTTTTTCCTGAAATGTTAGTACACACAAGAGCAAATACAATTCTTCTAAAAAATGTTAGGAGATAACAACACATTTGAACAATAATCTTTGGAATCATCAAAACTACATAAGTTGCAAAAATGTAAAGCATGCAAATAGCAACTACCTTAACAGTACTAAGCCTTTTATACCATACCCTAGGTGCTTCCTTCAACCCATATAAAGACTTTTTAAGTTTGTACATATGGTTGGCAAAGGATGAATTTTTAAATCTTGGGTTTTGCTCTACATAGACATTTTCCTTAATAAACATTTTTACTATGCACTTTATATCTATCTTATATAACTTGAAGCCTCTAAAATATACAATAGCTAATAGTATTTTGATGGCTTCTAATTTGGCTGTAGAGGTAAATGTCCCCTCAAAATTAATACCTTCAATTTGATTTTACCACTTAGCTACCAACCTAGACTTAATCCTGACCATTGCCGAAGAATCATTCATCTTATTCCTAAATACCCAATTCTTACCTACTACATTGTGGTCCTTATGTCTATTAACTAACACCTAAATATCATTTATAATAATTTTTTTTAAGTCTTCATGCGTAGCCAGGATCCAAAATTCATCTATTAAGGCTTGGTATTTATTTTTGGGTTCTGCCAAAGAGATAAATACAAAAATGACTAATCACCTTCTAAATTCCATGCTTGGTTCTAACTCCTATAAATGAATCTCCTAAGATGAGCTCCCTAGGATGACTAGACGAGTATCTCCGTTCTCTTCACAATGGATCCTAAGGATATTCTTTATTTCCTAGGTCAATAGACTATACACCTTAGATAATCGCTTCCTCTTCATCTTCTTCTAATATAGGCTCATTAGATTTATCAATTTCATCAAACAAAATATGGTTGGACTCCTCTATAACAAAGGTCCTCTTATTAAAGGTCCTATAGGCTTTACTTACATAGGAATAGCCCAAGAAGATTCCTTTATTAGACTTTGGATTAAACTTACCTAAAGGAGATTTTTTTCTTGATAAGGATAAAATATTTACACCGTAAGACATGAAGATGTGAAAGATTGTGTGTCCTACACTTAGGACATTTATATGGAATCTTATTTAATTTATATTAAATATTCACCCTATTCAAAAAATAGAATATAATATTTACTGTTTCTGTCGAAAAACATCTATGGAGAGAATATTCAGGCAAATAGCCCAAGCAGCTTCCACAAGTGTTCTATTTTTTCTTTTAGCTATTTAATTATACTAAAGGGTCATAGGGGAAGAGAAATTATACTCAATTCCAAACTCCTTACAAAAAGGTTCAAATATATCTTTTTCAAATTCTCCACCATGGTCACTATGGATTTCAAAAATTATATGTCCTAGCTTACTCTATATCTAAGTGAAGAATACTCTAAATTTCTTAGATGACTCACTTTTATGATGGTGCAGAATATCCATCTAGTATCATATACCATATGAGATAGTCGATCGATTGTAGAAATGTAGACATACAATTTTTTAAAAAATCAAAGGGAATTTTATCAAATAATGTTGGACAGGTTATTTAAAAGCCCTCCATAATATTTCTATTCCCTACTAAGAGAAAAATATATTTATTATTATATATATATTTTCTTGTTAAGAAAAAGCAAGATATACATTATTCAAAGTGAAACTCACAAATCACAGATTTTATAAGAAGTAAAATATAAGAAATAAAGTGCAGAAAAGTAAAAGTTAAAACTAAGAAGGAACACACAAGAGATTTCTAATGTTTCGATCAACTTTGACATATATCCACTCCCCTGAGTCCCCCACTTTGAGAATTTCACTAAAAACTTAGCGGCTCCTCTTTCCCCCCTATAGTAAGGAAGAGAAGTCCATACAAATCTGTTCAACCTCTTCAGTGCAGTAGTGAAACTGAATCTCTTTCACCTTGATGCGAAGGAGTAGCCGAATCCCTTTTCACCTCCTGGGTATAATGGAGTTGTCGGATCTTTCACACGAAGGGACTCATCTAGGAGTTTCCTTTAAGTAAAGGCACTAACTTTGGAGGAAGAAGGTGCACGATCATTGAGTAACCATGTGTAGAAACCACTCTCACACTCTCTCTTATTCCCACAAGAAGTTTTTCCCTCAAGACCTCACCTCTCTCTCTCCCAAGGAAATGCTCCCTCTTAAAATCCTTCCCATACAAGCTTTCCCCAAGAAAAAGTAGGAAAAGATTCTCTAAAATTGATTAGGGATGATACTTAAACAATGACTCAAAATAACAATAAAATTCAGGTTAGCTGAAACTGCTCGTATTGTACGATTCAAAATTCCCTATTTATTCTATATAAAAAACAGACTCTAGTACAATTAGTTCAATTGAACCTAAATATATCATACAATATCAATCATGGATCATGCAGTCTAATTTGTACATATTAGTTATGTTCGTCCATGACGATCTCTTGGATGATAAAAATCATCTACGCCAATTATCTAGAACGATTTGTATCATATTGTACTATTAATTAAATAAATCAAAGTTTTTTTAGAATGATCATTTAGACGATTAAAAATCATCTTTATCGATGGTCCAATACAACCATGATTGTTCAATTCAATCGTTACTCATTAATTAACCTTCATTTTATTGACTAATAACAGGGATTTGTTTAGGCAAGGTTTTAAATATTTTATAGTATTAACCTTTTCATATAATATGATTAGTTAAAAAATCAAAATTCAAATACTTTCCTAATTCTAATTGGTAGCTAGGGTTATGATTTCAATTGTTTATCTTGTACAATCAATATCATTTTGTATGATTGGTTCACTTTGATTAATCATTCAATTAGCTATTTAAATTGATTTTATGAAAAACTAATTGTATAATGTGATTTGGAATGTATGGTACGAACTCCAAAAAATCTAAAATTCATATTTTCAATATTCCCTATGTGTGTACACGGTCGCTAAGCTAACATATACCTTTATAAAAATATTGACTTAAGAAGTAAAAATTAAATAAATCAAAATTATAGAGTCTTGATAATATCACCCTATTTTATGCAGTCTTGATTCAATTCGTTATTTTGCAATGCACGATGTACCTGAAATGTTAGTGTACACAAAATAAATATACAAAAAAGATACCATAAAAAATAAAGTAAAATCCAATAACGTTTGTAACACAATTTAATTACATTTAAGGGATATTTGGCTTACTTAAGGGAAATTTACATACATGCCACTTTATAACATCCTATTTACATATCTAACACCTAAAACTTTAATATTACATGCATACCACCCTATATTATTCTAATATCAAATATACCACTTATATTTCTTTCATACCACTCATATATTTCATTTCTATCACTCATATTTGATCTGAAAATGAACTATGGGTGGTATTTATGTAATATTAAAGTTTTAGGTGTTAAATATGTAAATAGAATAGTATTAAGTGGTATGTATGTAAATCTCCCTACTTAAAAATATGTAGAGTAAAATGGAATGTGGAAGGAATACTGTGTATTTGAAATGTCTATAGTCTTTTGGGTGACTAAAAAACTAATATAGGTGATTACTTTTTAATACTTAGTTTTAAGTAAATTCAATAAAGCATGAAGCTCATCAATGGCGGTGATAGGTGGTTAATAATGATGATCAGCGCCAATGATAGCTAAGCAGAGTGAAGGTGCATGATAAAATTAATGAAGCGATATAGGCTACTAGTGGTGGCTACTATAGTGGTCGTGGGTTGCAAAGGAACAGGCTAAGTAACTGTGGTGGCTGTTATAGTCAATTTGTTGTTTATTTCAGAATGTGGGTTAAAATAAGCACAATAGCGATGAGTAGTAACACCTTTATGGAGGGCGAGTTGCCAATTGAATAATTCAAAGGACCTTTGCCTGTTTTTATTAGGAGCAACTTCCCTCTGAGTGTTTTGTTGATTAGGTTTTGTGGTTGTTGGGCGAGCTCTTTTTTGGACCCACAATGTATGAGTCCATCTGATATAATCCGCTAATTACTTGTTGAAAACCTTAAAATGCATATTTTTTACATGTTTTTTTTATCAAATAAAAAAGGATAAACAATTTTGCCTGTCAATGACTAAGAGATTCGTGAAACGAATGAAATTGATAATTGTACCGATCACTACATAGAGTGGGAAGGATGCGGCTCACGCCAGTCCGCCTCTCTCGCGGCTCAACCGCCGCCATCGTTGCAGCTAACTCCCGCATCACTTGCCATGGCCGCCTAGGCAAGATTGATGCAGCACGAAAAGTGTTCGATGAAATGCACGAGCACACTGTTGTCTCCTGGAACTCCCTCATCTCCGCGTACTTCATAAAGCAGCAACCTCAATATGCTCGCAACCTTTTCGAGCGGATGCCTAAGAGAAATACCACATCCTACAATGCTATGATCTCAGGCTACATCAAGTTAGGTCACCTGGACGAGGCCTGCGCCGTCTTCAATTCCATGCCTGAACGCAACGTCGTCTCCTGGACTTCCATGCTCCGCGGTTACATCCAGGCCGGCGCTATTAAAGAAGCCGAACTCCTATACTGTCGCATGCCAGAGAAGAACGTTATCTCATGGACGGTCATGCTTTGCGGGCTCATACAAGATGCCCGCATTAATGATGCACGTAAACTGTTCGACAAAATGCCCGCCAAGGATGTTGTTGCTAGAACCAGCATGGTTTCAGGGTATTGTCGGGTAGGCAGAACTGCTGAGGCTCGGGAGATATTTGATGATATGCCCCGTCGGAATGTGGTAGCCTGGACTGCAATGATCTCTGGGTACACCCATAATCTGCAACTTGATCTCGCAAGGAAGCTTTTTGAAGTGATGCCATCGAAGAATGAGGTGACGTGGACCGCCATGCTGACTGGGTACACCCGAGCTGGGTGTATTTTGGAGGCCATTGATTTATTCAATAGGATGGAAGAAAAGTCTGTGATTGCTTGCAATGCGATGATTATTGGATTTGGGCAGTGTGGAATGGTAACTGAAGCAAGGAATGTTTTTGATCAGATTTTAGAAAAAGATGATGGGACGTGGAGTTCAATGGTGAAAGTATATGAGCAAAATGCTTTCCAATTGGAGGCTTTAGATATGTTTCGCTCCATGCAGTTGGCTAATGTGCGGCCAAATTTTTCTTCAATCATCAGTGTTCTTGCTGTTTGTGCTGGCCTTGCAATTATTGCCCATGGAAAGCAGGTTCATGCCAAAATGATTAGAACACATTTTGAAACTGATGTATTTACTGTTTCAGCCCTAATCACAGTTTATGTCAAATGTGGTGATCTTGCTAAGGCTAAGATGATTTTTGATAGTTTTGAAGGAAAGGACATTGGTCTGTGGAATTCCATGATAACAGGCTATGCACAGCATGGATTGGGGGAGGAAGCTCTGCAAATATTCCATGATATGCGCATGACGGGCATGCTACCTGATGAGATTACTTACATAGGGGTCCTTTCAGCGTGTGGTTATTCAGGGATGGTCAAAGAAGGCAGAGAGATTTTCAGGACGATGAGTATGAATGCCATGATTAACCCTACTGCTGAGCATTATTCCTGTATGGTTGACATGCTTGGCCGAGCTGGACAGGTTGTTGAGGCATTTGAATTGATCAGCAATATGCCTGTTGAAGCTGATGCTGTGGTATGGGGAGCTCTACTCGGAGCTTGTAGGATTCATAAAAATCTTGAAATTGCTGAAATTGCTGCCAAAAAGCTTTTGCAGCTTGAGGCTTGGAATTCAGGGCCTTACATCTTGTTATCAAATATTTATGCTTCTACCAGGAGGTGGGAGGAGGTTGCTAAATTAAGGAAGGCTATGAGCTTAAGAAGTGTCAGCAAGTCTCCTGGTTGTAGCTGGATTGAAGTTGACAGGATAGTGCATATATTCACTGGTGGATATATAATAGCTCATCCTGAGCAGCAGATTATTATTTTCTTACTGGAGAGATTGGATTGTTTATTGAAGGAGTCAGGTTACTGCCCTGATTTTAGCTTTGTTCTTAACGATGTTGATGAGTGAGGAGCAGAAGGTGCATAATTTACGTTATCATAGTGAAAGGCAAGAAGTGGCGTTTGGAATTTTGAAGATTCCCGAGGGAATGCCAATTCGTATCATGAAGAACTTGCACGTATGTGGTGATTGTCACGTTGCAATCAAATTGATATAAAAAATCATGGAGCGGGAGATCGCCCTAAGAGATTCTTACAGATATCATCGTTTCAAGGATGGTTCTTGTTCTTGTAAAGATAATTGGTAAGCTTGTAGCGATGTACTCCATTAGTACAATTACTTCTTTTTACCTTTTATTAGCTTGTTTTTTCACAAATATGGAAATGATCTAACTTGCAAAGTCTTAAGCCTGGTTATGCTACACATTTTTTTTGTGCAGGTGAATATCTCTGGTTTAAATTTTCAGCTAAAGTGAATGCAATAATGGCTACATTAGGTTGGTATTATATGTCAATTTCTAAAATTTGCGATTAAAGATTAATGGCATTGATTTTTCAGCTTGTTCTCTAATCATTAACATTCATGTATTGCAGCACATATGAAGTCCGTAATTATTGCACATTAGAGTTATATTTTCTCTACCCCTTATTCCGTCTGTAGATGCTTTATCCTTCTTGTGCAGTTACAGATTGCTTTAGATGGTAACAAAGCACATTGTGATTATAGTAATGCTTAGACCTTGGTCAAACTTATAATTTAATGAATTCATTTTGAATTAATTCATTGTTTTTTGAAGAGCTGCGCACACTTTAATGAGGTTTGTCTGCTCACCATCTTGAACAAATTGAGGTGCTAAAAATGAAATAGTTGTCTCAACTATATTATTATTTAAATATGAGAAATGATTTTGAGAAGCACTAGAAAATAAAGAAAGGTTGACTTTATATACCTCATAATAGTCATAGTCAAAGAAATTTACAAGTTATTTGAATTTTTGAGAAAATATGCCTGAAAGTTATCTCTAATTAAAATAGTTTTCTTTTGACTATGGACTATCCATCTAACTTCCACCACAAACAACATAACTTTGAACAAAGTTTAGACCATATTATAGCAAGACTTAGGCCATGTTGGAGCCTTGTTTGATTAAGGTTAGAACCATATTCGAATGATTTCAAACCATATTTGAGGCTATTTAAACCATGTTTGAATTCTGCATGAACTATATTTTAACTCATTTCAAATAAGGTTTGAATAGAGATTGAAATATTATTTGAACAAGGTTTGAACATGGATTGAACATAGTTCGAATAAGATTTTATGTAAGGTTTAAATATGCTTCGAACAAGATTCTAACTAGGTTTTAATATGATTTACCTACTATTATGTTACGCGTAACATTGGACCGGTCCCGGCTGGACCGGTCCGGTTCTACACCCGGCGGTCCAGAGCCGGGCGGAACCCACCGATCGCAGAAACGGCGGACGAAGGGAGCGGGCTAGGCGGATTTTGAGCGTTTCGTTGGAGGGAATTTTTGAATGAGGAGGGTGTTTATGTAATTTGTATCTTTCCTTTTGCTTTAATTAGAGAGTTATGAGAGAATTAGGGATCATCTTGAATTGGAGTTTTCTCTTTGAGATTTAGGTTTTGTTTTGGGCTCTTGGCTTCACCGGAGACTTTGGAGAGTACGTTCTTCCTCTCGAATTGAAGAACAAATTGTATCTTTGCTATTTTATTTGTCTACTAATAAAATACTAGCATTTGCTTGCGTTGGATCTCAGTTTTCTCGCGTTTCCTCACTGTTTTCCTGTGTAAAGCTGCTGTCCACTGCTGGAGACAGCAGTTTTTCCCTTGTTCCGCTTCAGTTTTGGCTAGTAATTACTTGATTTCAAGTATTTCCTATCATATTCATACAACATAGTGCATTTCAATAGCCTTAATACAACATACTACCATGTCTATAATAGAGCATATATAAATGTACATAAACTTGATTAATGAAACAGTCAATGTACATAAATGTCCATAATACAAAAAATTAGTATTTATAGTAGAGGAAAGCAATATACTTTTTAATAGACCTTTGGATCTACATTATTTTTGAATAAATCTACACCTAAGTGATCCTTGTAGAATAGTTTATGATCAGGTGTATTTTACAGATGAGTTTTTTTAAATTAGGTATATAATATGATATATTTTATACAAATTACAGTTGCTGCTACAAATAACACATAAAATGCTTATCAGACTTTATATGCAAGAAGAACTTAAGTTACTTTAATTTTTATTAAAATTTCAAATAAATTACTGTAGTGGAGACCTTGAAACTTCATCTGCGGTGGCTATTATCCACTTCCGAAAAAATTTAGAGGAGAAAAGTTTTTGCCTATATGCAACCATGATATCTCAAACAATTTTTGAAAGCATTTGCAGAATGAACTAATCAGTGCTTCCAAGTTCTGCCCTAAGGTGCAAGAGAGTCAAACAACTTTATGTATTTCTCTTAGAAGTGAGATATTACATATCATTCAATTAACTTTTTTCTAGTTTATTGGAAAATATATGAGTTTTTTATTTATCCTATGGCTTAAGGAACATTTTCTTCTTTCCAATAATATATATGATGGCCTATTTAGGTCACTTGAAGGAGTCTTTCTTCTTGAGCTTGCTAAAATTGGAGATTGCTCATCTGCTATATAGATAAAAAACTTCAGCCAACACAATGATGCTATACCTATAGGTTTTAGATGGTGCCATATTTGCTTACTTATTAGAAAATAAAAAAATCATTTTGTTACAAAATTACAAATTATTGTAAAATTCAAGAACTATTGCTTGTTGTTTTAATACAAAGTAAAATATTTCTCACCTTACTATCCAACCATTTTATGGGAGTATTCAATTATCGGAATCATCTTGTGCTTCCACTATCAACTCCTATCTTCTTTTGTTAAAGTTGTCAACCAGCCCTAACATCTCATAATGGAGGAAGAAAATTGGTCCTCGTCAATCGGATGGAGGGAATCAATAGCGTATGGGTCTAAAATCTTTTACCTCTTCCTTGATGGATCTTTGAAACCCTATTAAATACTTCTAACTCTTCCTCTTCTTAATTCGAATCCTAGTTATTGCTCAGCAATTTTATGTATAATGGTAAGAGATGGTTTGATATCTCTTGCCTTTTTGACCACCTTATCTATATATACTTTGGCAAGGATTCTTCCTTTATTTCCTCTGCCTTCTCCTGTATCTCTTGCCCTATCTCAGCATTCATCTCATTCCTAGCCTTAATTGAGTGAATTTTTTAGTTAGTAGCTTATACTGTCCCACTGTTCTCTTTTTTCTTCTACTCAATATTTATAAAATTATACATAAGATTGGTATGAGAATTCAAATTATACTTTAAACTTATTTGATTATCCTCGAACCTTATTTGGTTGTTTCATAACCCTTGTGCAATGACTCGAAGCAACTTCAATCCCTATTATAAAGGCTTAGACCAACTTATAGTTGAATTTGCTTTTGTTGCCTCTCCTATTCTCTCCTAAAAAATGGGGATGATTGGTCGCTTTATAACTATATTTTATGATTGGTTTAGCAAGGGTATGCATGACAACTTTATGGAGTCCTCCATCAATTTTTTGCACCAACTTATGATGAACAATAATCCCCAAGGAATAAGTTAAGAGTTAATGGTCCACCATATAAATTAAAATGCTCTGTTTAGTTTTAAATAATAAACTTAACTTACATCTTCATTCTTTAGCACTAGCAAAAAATCTTTGCTCTTGAACATACGCTCTTTTAGCTGAATACTGCATATTTGGTATGGTTGCATAAGTCTAATATAGCAAAAATATGACATATCTAGTTACAATATAATGGGTAGTGGCCTCATAATGCATCATATCCTTCTTCAACCCTCTTAGTGTCTTTTGTCAAGACAACCTCCCTTATAGTTATCTAAAAAAAGGTCTTCTTATCTTTAACCAAGCCATGCATCTCAATAAAAATCACATTGTGTTTTTCATGGTTGGGAGGACACCATCTACAAGATAGTATAAAATGAATTTCCACACATCTTCATTCTCAGTGCATCCATAACTGCTTTTATCAAGTTTGCATTATTAATGTTTTTGTCTCCATTCAAGTTTTCTTTCATTGGCCTACTCTTTGTGCTCATCCTCATAAATTCCTCCTAAGATGTAAATTTACTAACTCCAACCCAATAATTAGTTCAAACTCAACAACTTGAAGTGGAGTATCTTTCATACTCATTATTGACCATCCTCGATGATACTTGATGAACTAGGCTCCAGAGAAATGCTGCTTAAGAGCTCTAGAAAATTTGCTAATTGTGGATTCTTCAGCCTTTCTAATGAAATCAAATTCTGTAAATTGTCTAAAATTTTTTTCATCACACCGTTCACAACTCTATATGTGAACTAAATACTGTAATGTCTCTCTATAAATTTGATTAGATTTGATATTTACATAGCAAAATATTTTAATTTAGTCAATTAAGCAAAATATAATGGCTGATTGAATCATATTTGAACTGTGTTTGAACATGATTCAAACATTATTTGAATGATGCTAAAACTATATTTAAATCATGCTCGAACCTTTTTCGAAAGGCTAGACAAGTATTGTTCCTACCATGTTCAAACATTGCACTATTATTTCTTGAGTCTTATTCCAACCATGATCAAATAGCTTGAGCCATGTTCAGACCATGATCAAACCATTTTTTTAATATTTTAGAATCTCATTAAAATCATGCACAAACCTTTATTTGAGTATCTTCAAATAATATTTGATCCTTATTCGAACCTTCCTTAAACCATAATTAAACCATATTCTAATAATTTTTTTACTTTGTTTGAAACTTGTCAAAGTTTTGCTAGAGTTTTATTCCAACAATATTTTCAAAAGGTTGGTGCATTCTTCAAACTTATTTTGAATAGTATTTGAACTTTGGTTGAATCTGATGTTAATTATTTTTAAACATTATTCAGACATTCTTAGACACTTACTCATAGCAATGCTCCAAGAAGGTTTGAAGAATGTTCGAATAAGATTCTAGTATGTTCATAGTAGGTAATGTAATGGTTAATGTCATTTTGGGTATAACACTGCCAACCTTTACTATGAATCTTTACTGTTGATTGATCTTATGTGCTTGGAGATTTCTGAGTCATAGAAGATCTTGTGAAGAAGAATGCTAATCAACTCTCTATTCGAAAGTTCATGTAACATGTAAGTGATTGTTTTGAATCCAATTTCTCTAATAGCATAGGTAATGTAGTTTGAAATGAACTTTCAAGTATATTTCTTCAAATAAAACAATAATGAGATTATTTTGCCAATTTTTGATATTATGAGGCATATAAAGTTAAACTGCCAATGATGATTATCATATTAAATGATGTTCCAAATTTATAAGGCTTGATAAATGATTATTTTTAACAAGGAAAGCTAAACTTTATTTTTAACAAGGAAAGCTAAGCTACTTTAAGTTTTTTTTTTTTTTCTATTCCTTAATTTGAGGTAATGTAATGCAAATGGTATACATTCTACCTTTAATTTCACTTATGCTTGTTTACAAGGGCAGATGAGAAGTAGAGTGTATGGTGAACTTTCAAGTGGAGGTTTATGGTGAGTAATTATGTTTGAATTGTGAGAATATAAAAGTGTGAGGTTTGATGGAATTTGGGAATATATCCTTTTAGGGGTAGCCAAGATGTTTAATAGGAATTTCCTAAAATTGAGTTGTATTTTAATGGGTTGAA